TTTTTTTTTTTTTTTTTTTTTTACTTTTAAATAAGAAAGGTTACTTTTTTGGAAAGTAAGTCAAAATAAAGGACATATTTTCAACTTCCACCAGTAAAAAGTTGTCTTTTATAACTTATTTACAAATTTTTAGCTTAGTAAAATATGCTCCATCATCTTGTATATTAGCACTTGAATTACGTCTTATTCTTGTAACTTTTCGGTCACAACAGATACGCATACCCGTGGTGGAAAGAATTCTAGTATTTAAGGCTAAACTTTTGAAAAGACGGTCTATGTCCTTTGACGCCTGAAGAAACTGCTCTCACATTACAGGCATTAGACATTGATCATAATATCCAGGTTTACATTGCCGCTGGAGAAATATATGGCGGAGAAAGAAGAATGGCAAGTCTTAGAGCAGCTTATCCAAATTTGGTCAGTAGATAAAGCAGTGGCTAATAGATTAAAACGTAACGCGTCTCCCTCTTGTACTCATCACGTGCTTCTGGCTGCATTTTAACAGGTCCGGAAGGAGACTCTATTGGAGCCTTCAGACCTTAGATTCTTTCAGAATTACTCATCTCAAATGGCGGCACTCGATTATCTTGTTTCATTGGAGAGCGATATCTTTGTTCCTACATACGATGGAAATATGGCTAAAGTTGTTGACGGCCATCGCAGGTATTATTTCGTACTTGAACTTGTGATGAAATAATATAGAAGAAAATTTTGAGAATCTTTCACTATATTTTCTCGTTTTTCTTCGGTAATTAATGAAACATGAATGCAAAGTGACAGAGAGATTAATAGTGATCACTAAATTCAACTTGGTACCTGGAAGTAACTCGTTTAGTGGATTTTGAAGTATAGCAGCGTATTTACTTCTTGACTTCTAAATACATTTCGTCCGATTGTTGTTGTTTCCAGATATCTTGGATACAAGAAAACAATTTTGTTGGACAGAAGGCTCCTAGTTCATTTGGTAGACCAATATAATTCTGGTTCACTTACTTGGGATGAGTTCTCTACTGCTGTTAAGGATGCTCATGCAGAACGCATGGGGAACCCAACAAAAAGGTCGGTTATTCCCGATAGACCTAAAGAAGAAGATTATTTCTATTCTAATCCATGGGAATGTTTGCAACCATTGGATGAAGACGTATCACTAAGGAGTATTTGAAACTCGTTGCTCGTAGATTGCTTATATTACTTGCAGTCGTGTAATGGAGCAATCCTCGACTCGGTCATAGCGAGTGAATGAGTATATTGTTTCGAGGAGTCTATGGTGAAGGTTAGATGAGGTGGTGCACTTTAAGGAAGCCAAAGAGAATAAGAAGCCACTGGAGCACATTTACCTTTCTAGATATAAGTTAATAGTACAGTACTTGTATAGAAGCTACCCTTCCATCAAAGTATTACATCGACTCATCCAAGTGTATACAGAGGGAACAATCGATTTACAAAGGTTAAGCTTATGTCCTCTTCTCTTTTCTTTTTCTTGTGTTTCATTTATTGATTTTCAGATTGTTCCCGAGTTCTTGAATATAAACATACATTTATCTAGTTGAATTTTTTTCTTTTTTCCGCATAAACCTTTACTTAAGATATTATGATTTGATCATAGAATAATATAAATTTTTGATCATTAGACAGCCAACTAATCTTACGTTCAACGAATGCTGATAGAATTATTTGTTGGAAGATAATATTCCATGAACTTGAAGCATGTTTTTGGTAGGCTTTTGTTGTCTAAACAAATGGCTGTTAGTGTGTCTTTTATATAAATATAAATTTGTGGTGAAAGTGAAGGGATTATGACTTATTTATTTTAATAAATGCTTAAATGAGATTCTTTTTTTGTGCATAAAACAAGCTATCATGACATCAATCAATCAATGATGCTTTTGTTTTATGAGGTGTTCAAAAAGCATCATTGAAGAATGTCAAAAGTTTCATTTTCGTGGGGCCAGGGCATATACCTTGAATGAATGATATTAAATGGAAATATTTGAATATAACATACTTCTGTCGAAGGGCTGAAGCCGGTCTACCGACGGAGGCCCTTGCAAAGGTTGATTCCTTCGCTGTCGACACTAGTTCCTTGTGTCTGCATGCTCCGGCGAAGTCCCTGTGGTGGACGGGGTAACAAGATTTGATTTTAATTACTAATTCTTTTGGAGCAGCCGGCAGGCATGCCATTGTATTTGCTGCGGAATTGTTGATGTTTACAATTGGCTGGTGGTTATTTGTCTTCTTCTATCATGTTTAGATTTGTGATGGTAGCCGTGGTGGTTTATTATGGTGGTGGGATGGTGATTTTGTGGTGGTAGTCGAAGGTGGTGGTGGATGTGGAGGCTGGTGTCGATGATGATAGTGGTGATGGCGGCTGTGATAATAGTGTTGCGTAACAGTGTGTTATGAGTATTGGTGGTGATGGTGATGGTGATAGTATGTTCTTGACGGATAAAATTTCTATGGGTTTTTTGTACTAGGACAGAAGATTTTAACATATGCTTTGATATAATTTGAGGTGACAAAAGATGATTTAATAGAAAAACTGATCGTATTTAAAGCAATTCAATAATATAATGTTACGTAACATTATGTTAAACTTCTATGTTAAAAAATCTGACGTTGTAGCATGATTCAATTTCTATTTTTAAATTGCAAGGTGAATTTTTTTTTTTTTTTTGTTCCACCAACTCGATTTTGTTTTTGATTTCCGTGGCATGGATTGGAGTGGTGGTGGTGTTGGTGATGATGATGTTACAATGAATGTAGGATTGAGACGATGGTAGTGATGATTGCGGTGACGATGAAAAAAGGCAGGTAAATAGGAAAATGTGTGTAACACACTATGCCTATGTTTGAGTTCCACTTTTCAAAAAATTCTTTTTTTTAAACAAAAAAAAAAGCAACGCATTCTTTCACAAAATAATTTTACTTATAAATTAATTTTTTTTTCTTTTGTAATTATACATTCTCTAAAAAATCACTATTTCAAAACTTATTTTTCCTTTAAAATGGGGCTTAAACGTGGCCTATATTACAAAATGGTGGTGGTGGCGACAACGATGGCAATGACGATGGTGAAATGTGCATAACAAAATGTAATATATTATGTTACAAAGTTCATTGTTTTATTTCTCAAACTATACAAATCTCATTTTTTTTTTTTAAAAAAAAAAAAATTATTATTATAATAATTATTATTTTCATTTAGCTATATATTAATTATAATTTGACCAAACAATTATGGATAATAGGATTTCTATAGAGTAAAGGCGATCCCAAGGCATATTTTTCCGTGTAAAATCTCAAGGCTTTTGTTACATTTGAATGATCCAAGAAGCATATTTATTTTACTAAAACCTATAATATTAACTAATTTTAATGGAATATTAAAATATTAATGGAATGGTTGTTGCTTACTAAATACGTCGAAGGGGTCAGAAAGGAACACAATAAATTAATGATTATTCTTCAACTGCAAGTTAATACTGTCCCTTTTCAACTAATTTATTTGTATTTTAATTTCTTTACAAATATAACTAAAGTAAAAAATATTTAAAATTGGTAATAAGAGTCAACAAAAATCTATCATTGGGAAACGGTACACACTTCCAAATATTTCAGTGTTTTGAATTTTTATACATTTAGAAAAATGTAAAAAAAAAAAAAAAAAACT